TCTGTCCCAAGTTAAAAGAACATTTAAAAGAACATTTAAAAGAGCATTTTTCAGTAATTAATAATTTTCATTTATAAAAAAAATAAAAGTGTAGAAGCAGGTAAAATATAGTTTTTAAATATTTAACATTAATAATAAAAAAGATTTCAACTTTTTATTTAATTAAGAGTCTTTATCAACAACATCCAACTCATCACTAAATACAAATGGTGAACATGTTTCTTAATAAAGTTTTCACTAAATACTATAATTTTTTCATAATATTAAATAATAACAATAATGGACCAATATCATCAATGCCAGCAACAAAAATGAACATATAAAGAACTAATTTGTCTTTGTTGCAGCAAAAGTAAATTTAAAAATAAATAGAACATCCATTGAAAAGACATTGTATTAAAAATACATGTTACATTCCTTCCCATTTGTGAGAGATAGGGTTTTGAGTCGCAGTCAACCAATTATGAGCCAAAATTGTATTTGCTTAAAAAACAAAAAAAAAATATAATTTTTATGAATTCACTATAAAAAAAATGTGACATATCTTAAAGACTTTTGTAGTATTTATATTTATATTTATATATATATATATATATATCTATATCTATATCTAGAAAGAAAATAATAAAAGTAATTTTTTAATAATTATAATGAAGGAGATTTTTTTAATAGTGAATCTAATCAAACGATTATTATCAAATGATCTACCCAGAAAATCTTGGTAGGCAAGTGCTGGTAATTTGATTGGTTCGAATCTTTTTTGAACTAACAGTTAATCCTGTAATTGGTTAAATAACCGGTTAAATCAGTTAAATGACCTGCAGATCATTTTAACTTTGTTAATCAGTTATTTAACCGATCTGCAAGTTAACCAATCGAAAGTTGCTATTATACATCATCATCAAATATATAACGTAATCGTATAATATACGGAAAAACGTGCAAATTGTACGTATAGTATTTGATACTGATTTCTGAATACAGAATTAATAATCTTTAATCATGGGAACGAACAACATTTATTTACATCTTTATTGAAAATATTTATCAAAGCCGAGGAAAAAATTGTAAATTCGCCGAATTTGTAAAGTATTTGCATATAATTTCCAAATTTGATTAGATAACTTATCATTAATTTATGTTATGCGATTTTATTTGAACCAAAGTTTACAAGATCAAATTTTTTTTCGGACAGGTCATTTAACTAATAGTTCAAAAGTAAATAATCGTCATTGCCAACAGTAATATATGGGCTTGTTGATTAATTTAACGTGTAATACGAATCATTCGAATAACGAATAAATTGTATAACACACAAATAAAGCCTACCCTTAATGATTCCGGGGAATAGGAAAAGGGAATGAAAATATAGGCATTGTTTCCACTGATAACTACTATTATAGACTTGATATTAAAAGTAGGCAGAATAAATTTTCTATTTTCCAAAAAGCTGAGGATTGTAATAGGGAAAAGTTCTTCAAAAACTTTCAACGGTTATCTTCTTTCAATCCTTTTAATAATCCTAATTCTAGGCATGGTACATCTTATTATTATGTTTTGGCCAGTGAGAGAGAATCTGGAAAGAGAGTTTTTAGTCAAATCTAGTGAAATAGTTTTGTAGAAGGTGTTCATACTCTCCGAATTAAAATCAAAAGTTTTTGTGATGTTGATTATGGAAATTTGATAATATGAAAAAATATGCGTAGCCCTTACAATAAAATAAAAAAACTAAGGAGGACAAAGGATTAAAGGATCAAGGAATTGTAGAAGGATTCTGAAGTCATAAAGAGACCAATTATAAAATTATGTTACTCTAACAAAAAAATATGCTTTTATAATTTCACTTGATCAAAATACTTGAAAGGTAGCTAGCTAGCTTTATTAATTGATATTTCAATAATGAACAAGGTTTTAAATGGAGTATCAAAGGAAGGAGGAAAGAATCCTGTCAACAAGTAAAACAAATCTAAATCTTTATTGAATTTATGCTCTTGGCTTTATATAATAATAGAATATTCGTGAGAAGAAAATTCGAAATACGAAATCTAAATATCCTTAATATTATTATTATTGTTGATTGGATTATTATTATTTGTTATTATTATACCGAAATTCGAAATTCAAAATTCGAGACCAATAAATAATGATTCTATAGGCTTAAAAAGATGCAGAAGACCATTAAACGTTGCACCGAAGATTACAAATAACCTTTTTTTTTCTGAGGAAAAACATCAAATAGTTCTTATCTTCTAAAATAATCAGGTCTAACGTTGCACCGAAACTTATAAACAGTTTTTTTTTTTTTTTTTTGAGGAAAGATAAAAAAACATCAAATAGTTCTTCCTTATTTCCTAGTCTTTGTTTGTCTTCATTAAAGGTAGATGCACTATTTTTTAAAAGGTAAAAAATCTTTCAATTTCAAATTTTAGCCGAAAATTTCGAATAGTGAGAGAACCTGATATTAATATTAATATTAATATTAATACTTATTATTATCAAAATCGAAACCGAAACTATTGCCATGCATTAAAATAGGACCCTGGATTATATATTAATATACAGAGAAACTAATAATAACTTTCAAAATTTCACTTCAAAAAGTCTTGTATGTTTCATAAGACATAGAAAAAGCAAAAAATTATCGTACGGTGATTAGAACTTCGTCCGATATGTATTTAGAATGATTTACATGGTTGACACATTTTGGTCCTGCGGTTCTTCTAAGATAAATGTGGCACTGCTTTACTTTTGTCTCAAGGTTTTTTATCGTAATACACTGCGAGTCTCGATCCCAACGAATCCTTATTAAAAGTCTGAATTGAGAGTCTAATAAAACTAAATTTACTGTGTTTAACCTTATCAAATCATTCAAGCCTTTTATGGTAAGATTTCCTGTGTGGGAATAACGAATCATTTGGTTTGATTCAAAAAAATTACTATTATCATGATTGATCACGCACGAATCATTCGAACAAGCTTTGTTCTAGACATATAATAAAAATGAAATACTTATTGTATTCAAAGTACCAAGACATTTATTTATTTCAAAGAATTAATTAATAATTGCAGATATTTATTTATTATAAAAATTATAAAAATAGTATTCGAAGTTAAATCGATTTCTAAATTAAGAAAATACTTTAATTTACCATAATAATAATGATAATAATAAATAAAGTCCTTACCGACAAAAGTACCATTATTAGTAAGATCTTCATCTTTCCCTACAGTACTATGCCTCAAACCCTCTAAAAACCTAAGCCCCTGTATGTGGTATTAGTATAATCGGAATAATATAAAGCAATTACGCAACCATTTATGTATAAATTTTTTGGTTTAGAAACCATACACACATTTCGCATTTTCAGTTTCCCCTGTTTTATTTGATGAGTGGGAATTACATGATTTCAATATAAAGAGGATGAAGATTTATAACGATTTATGAAGGTTGATCATAATGACTATATTAGTTAAATTGCACGGCGACAGCTACTTCTTAATCGTGCCATGGTGTTTTTTTTTAAAACATGAATTTGAAATTATCGATTTTTTTTTTCTAATAAATACATTTATTGACAAAGTGGCTTTTATTTATTTATTTTAAGATTTTAAACAAAGTTCATCATCAACAGGATAATGAGTGATTAGGGAATGATCGATCAAAGATCATAATAAAATCATTAATCAGGAATTCGCTATGCTTCGGGTAATGATTGTCTTGGCAGTCTTGTCTAGATTCTAATGGTGTTGAAGAAGGGCGGATGGTGTGATTAATTGGATGGATGTGAAATGAGGAGGAAATGAATAATTAGAGGTGTAAATAAGAATGATAGTGAATATATAAGGAGGACTAGAAGGAAGGAAGTGACAAATTAAATGCAACTAACTAGACTAGGGATGGGATTGGTCAGTCGGCCAATTAAGAAGGAGTAGTAGGTTTAAGAAAATTTGGCAAAGAAAAGGTATTTTTGTTCTTTTTATTTTATTTCTATTTTTAGTGTTTGATATTGTTGCTGTTTTTTTTTTATTCAAAGAATTTTTTCGTTTCATATACACTTGTTATTCCAATTTTGATGAAGGGTGTAACCATGGATTATCCCAATAAAAAACATTACGTGAAAACGTGCATCTTATGCTATTGTTTGTTGGCTATGTTTTGAGTTATTATTCAAATTTGGAGAATTATTAATTTTTACTGGAAAAAAAATTATTATAATTTAACCAGTGAAGACTTAAATTCAATCGTTGTTGTTGGATTATAAAATCCATATATATGTATAAAATATTCATTGATGTGTGAATTTTTAATTGAAAAATTTCAAATTAAAAAAGGAGAAAAAATACGTTCTTGTTTATTAAGTATATTTTAAAATAAAAGACAGCTATTGTTATATCTTATAAAAAAGGCATAGAGAGAATATTTTATTTATGCGCTAAAAATATTATAATTAATTTGACCTTATTATAAATTAATTTCAAATCAATTCTTCCAATAACACAAATAACTTTCAACACGTTTTATGTATAAATTATTACAATAATAACAAAATAAATAAAAATAAAAATAATAATAATCGTCGATCATTTCATATAAATATTATATATAATTTATAAAAAAAACTACCTTATCTTATCGTAACAAATAAATTCTTATATTTGTTTCTAAAAGCAGATACAATTTGAATACTGATGCACATGTAAAACTAATATATAAAAAACGTGTAGAATAAAAAAAATTTCATTAGTATTTAAATAAAATGAAAATTAAAAATAAGAATAACAATAAAAATTACAACAAAAAAAATATATAAATAGCAGAATTGTTGTTTTTTTTATTTTTTTATTTTCATACTTTTTTTTTCTTGGTAAATTTAATTGGAGAAAAAAAAAACTGAACAACAAAAACAATTTGAAAAACAAAAAAATTATTTTTTTGAAAAAAAAAATTTTTTTAAACACCAAATTTAACAAATTAATTTAATTATATATAAAAAAAAAAAATGAAAAACAACATGGCCGATGTAATTTATATAACTCCTAATAAAAATAACAGCAACAACAATAACGTAGATATGAATCTAGGTTCTTATTCAAATCCAAGTCAAAATTCAAATTATCATAGCCGCAGTCGACGTCAGCAACTACAACACCGTCCTCGTCAGCAACTGCAACGTAATCGCCAACAATCACAACAACATCAACATCAACATCAACATCATCATCATAATCATAATCATAATCACCATCATCAACAGCATCATCATCACCACCAACATCGTCGTGATCTGAATCATAATTACCAACATCGTCGAGATCTGAATCATAATTACAATCTGAATCAAAATTTCAATATTACACAACCTATCGTTAATATAGTTTCTGGTAGTGACAAAGCTTTGTTGTTGTCTGTGGAATGTTGGGAGAATATCTTTAGATATTTGACGCCAAATTACAATGATTTACATTCTTGTTTGTTAGTTAATAGATTTTTTTGTAAAATAGTTGTTCCAATACTTTGGGAATCGCCATTCAGTCAATATATCAAAGATAAAGATAATAATAATACCCAATCCAAGGACCTTAGTAACAAATGTTATCATAAATTAATAAGAACAATATTAAGTGGCTTATCACCTATTAAAAAAAATTATTTAATATACAATGGAATTAATTCAATTAGACATTTGCCTGCCTCCACCACTTTTAATTATGTTTCACTTATAAAATCAGTTATATTAGATCAATGGACATTAGATGTTTCACCATTCATTAATTATAATAATAATAATAATAATAATAACAACAACAACAATCATAATCTAAATCATGATCTTAATTACAATTATAATTTACAATTTAAAAAACTTATTCTTCAGCAGCAATTAATTAATTTATTAGTATTTGATAATCTTAAATATTTAAAAAGTCTTGTAACAACAGAATGCGAATATTTAAGCCTTTTCATAAATCATCTATTATTATTTAATGGCAATAATAATCAAATGGAAGAAGGAGAATTTAAAGAACTTCTTAACGATAATGATAGTGATAATAATAAATCTATTAAAGTTACTAGCAAATTATTTTCAAATTTAAAAGAGTTTCATTATAATCCAACTGATTTCGGATATTACGTATTCACAGCTTTATCAGAAGCGTCTGCAAACAATTTAACAAAATTATCAATCAAAGATATCTTTAATGTCAAGCAATTGGAATCTCTCAAAAATTTAATAAGTTCACAAAACAATTTGAAATATTTGAGGTTGGAATTAACTGAAAAATTAAGTCAGATCGAGAGTGGTGGAATATTATCAGATTATTATTGTCAATTGTTCTCTATATTAAAAAGTCAGAAAAAATCTTTAACTTGTCTAAAGCTTGTGAATTTGAATTTCCGGACCATCACCTCAGATTCAATTAGTTCGTTATCAGAGTGTGATAATATTAGGACGTTGCATCTTATCAATTGTAAAAATATTTCATCATCCAGATTCTTCTCTCTCGTTTTTCGCAATCTCAAAGAATTAAAATATGAAAATTTTTATAATTTTCTAAACGATCAAGACTTCCTAATCAACTTGTTGGTACATTCAAATAAATCATTGGAAACGTTAGATGTTTTCTATTTGAGAGATGATGACATTAAAAAAAATGATTCAAACTTTATCAAAACTTTAACCTCAAATTGCAAAAATTTGAAAACGTTGAGGCTAAGACTATTACAGAACGACGAATTGTTTATGATTTTCAAATGTTTGAAAAATCTTACTCATTTCAACTTCTTTTTATCCGATCAATCCGACTGGAGTGAAAAAACTTTTAGAGCATCGAGCGAGTTGATACCAAGTACTTTGAAATTGCTAAAAATTGGCATTTGGCAAGATTTACCTTCGTTCGATGAATTTTCCCTCAGAGAATTTCTCAATGGATGCAAAAAAATAAATTTGGACAGATTGGAAATTTACTCTTTTCCTAAATTAAATGTTCATTACGTTTCCATTTTAGAGGATTGTGGGGTCAATTACAAATTAATTGAGGCCATGGATGATTGGTAATATTATATTATATATAATAATAAGGTTTATTAAGGGTTAGAGGCGGGATTGCACATAATGTTATACATATATAATATGTATATATTAAATATAGATAATTAATAATTATATGGATATATTTTTTTATGTAAAATTTTTTTTTATTTGTAGATTTTTTTTTACAATTTTGTCGATCTTTTTTTTCTTGTAAATAATCTAATTTTGTGTGAATAAAAAAGATTTTTTTCTATAATTATATTATTTTTGGAAATACATTCGGACACGAATTATTTATTATTGTAATAATGATATATAATTAGTATAAATAATAGCCGCTCAAAAATTCCCGAATTTAGAAACTGTGCCATAATATTTGTTTTTTTTTTTTGAGTTCTATTACACAATAATAAAATTTAAATCCATTGTTATTGTAATTAGTTGGAAAATTTTTTTTCTATATATATAATGTTCAGAAAATCAAAAACACCAAATACGTAATATGTATTATGCTATTTTTAATATAAATAATCATTAAATTATTAATTTCAAATGCGCATTTCCTCAATGATGATCGTCGTCGTGCCAACTTCTTGGCTAATTAATCGATAAGCTTTTCTTCTTTTTTTCGAATCATTTAGGATTGAGCTCGAACGATTTAGTTCTTCTTGTGAATCCTTTTTCTCATCTGATTTTCAAGATCATTTGGCGCGTATTTTAGATATTTTTCAAAACATTCTTGAGAGTCGCCTATTCTTCAATGAACCTTTCAACATTAAGATATAAATTTTTTTGATTTCTGATAATCTATTTAGCTAAATATTTATTATTATTTATATGAATCCTAATTTTATGGGTATTAAATTTCCGAATCTTGTGATTCACAACGCGATCTTCCGATATCTGATTAGATAGATCTTAGTCGCCGCTTGGGAAATTCGCATAAATATTTGATGATTAATTGGTGGTTAATCAATAATAGAAATTTAATATGCAGATCACGACGTCTGTTGTTTTTTAAAAAAAAAAAATATTTATTATTTCAAATTAAAAATTCATAATTTAAATTAAAAATTCGTATTTTAAATTATAAAATTCGTATTTTAAATTATAAAATTCATATTTTAAATTAAAAAAACCATTTTCGCAAATTTTTTTTTTTAAAGAAATATAATTAAGTCCAATTATCTACTGGTATTATTAATAGACGTTGATCATTACGGAATTCATGCAAAAGATTGGTGGTTTAGATAACAATACAACAAAAACAATCCTATGTGAATTGAAAGCTTTGACTTGTACACCAGAAGAATGGGAGGATGAGGCGTTTGATGCAAAAAATATTTGATTATTGTCTTAAAAAAAAAACAATTGCAAATATAAATTATTATTCTAGTATAGTTGGCTTGGTCTAAAGACCTCCTAAATTTTGCACAATTTTTAAAAGGCATAGAAGTCACTTTCTGTCCTACCTTTTAAAAAACAGCTTTATGATAACATAGGTCTCTGGTTTTAATGTAATAGAGGTTTTTTCAAATAAATTATTTTTTAGTACATTTACGTAGTGGTTGTATCCGTTGATTATCCGGATAATGGTCAGTAAATAATGATAAAATTCAATACCCGGATAATCGGTCATTCGCCGAATGCCCGCAAATACCCCGCCAAATATCCACTGAATCTCCGTTGAATATTAAGTTTATTTAAAAAAAAAAAATATAACAATTATTTATTCGTCAAAAAAAATATTTTCAATACACTGCATATTTTGTGTTTCCAGCTTCACTAATTACAGTCAAACTTTGCCACAGCGGATAAACGAAAATTTTATTTAAACCCGTTGTGGCAATATTACTGATATTGCCACAACGGATTTTATATGTTTTTATATTTAATGTGAAGCAAAAATTTTAAAAATCCGTTATGACAAGAATTTAATTATATTCCGCTGTGACAGATTTGGATTTAGACGCTCATTTGGAATATTTTTTAGATAATAAGGACGCAGTTGGTATTCATATTACTTGATATATTATTATTATAGAAATAATATTGATGATAGTGTAAATTGGATAAATAATATTTACATGTTAATTAATGTATTAAAAAAATTTCATTCAATTACACGGATAATTTATTTGTACCCACCCACCAATTATTCACCAATTATCCGGATAATCCCAATGGAAGTGGTAATAGAAAAGTTTTGTTCAAGTCATATGAAAATCATGGGAAATAGTTCGCACATCTGGTGTGACTATTTGTGGGTCATATGAAAATTCTGGGTAAATTTTTTAAAAGTCATATGACATTATTGGGTAAAGAATTGGAGTCACAAGGGAATTTCGCATCCAAACACTCCGTATTTGTTTATTGGTTAATAATAATCAGAAAAAAAAAAAATAATAATGATAAATTATCTTTGTGCAAATGTCAATCCTTTAAATTTTTAATAAAAATTTCAAATCATCATTCATATATTGACCACGGAATAATTAATATTTCCGTGAACGTTTTTTCCTTTACAATATTGTTTGTTTACTTTAGATTCAATATATTTTCACATATAAGTTCATATAATATTCGAGAACAGCAGTTTATTGTTGGATTCTGAAATAGGATAATCGAGAATTGAAGTCATATGCTCAAGTGGGTAAAAATTGTAAAATTTTCTTATGTCGTGTGGAAAAGACGGGTAGAGAATTTTTGAGTGAGGCGTTTTTTTAAAAAAAATAAGTTATTACTTACTATTACTATTAGAGTTATCTGGGTCCATCTGCACCATATTAAAAAAAAGAAAAACATTACACAAAATATAAAAAATCTACACGATAATATAAATTTCAGACTTTTTTATTTATGTTAAGAGCAACTGTTATTATTTTCAAAACAAAACATTCTCCAAGTCAAATTTTATATTTTAAATTATTATCACCAGAAAGAAGGAATTTGTATTAAATCTAATAATGAAATGTATAATAATGCTTTGGTTAAATCTGATGGAAAAATAAAAAGGATTATTTTTTTTCATTAGTCGAAAAAAACAAGGAGCTTTTTGCAAAGAAAGGCATATTTATGAGTTTGAATTAAATTAATGCAAGAAATAAAAAAGGCAAACTAAGAGAATGTAACAAGTGTAAATCAATGATATATTCTTTGAAGGTTGTATTAGAGAGTCTTTTTGACACTTGGACATCTGGTAGTAGCTTGGTTGATAATTTCATTCAACAATGTCAAATACTCTCTCATCTTTGCCAAATCATATTTTAGAATGGATCACTTCAAAAAGTTACAAAATTAACTGAAGGTTGGATATTGTTCAATTTATATTGCAGTGTGAGCAAGAGGACATATTATTGATTATGATCGAAATGAAAAAGAATTTGATTATTTTGGAAGGTATTAAAAGTTTAAATGATTCAAGTAATCCAAGAAAATAATTTTTTGATGAGGTAATTGATTTTATTTCATTTGTAGCAAAATAAATAAATACCACTATATTAATTGATTTTATGTGTAAAATTAAATCAGGAATGATTGTTCAGTGCTATGGTATAACTAAATTCCCAAATAATGAAAACAATGCAATGGTTCTTAATTACAGTATATACCAGATGTAAATTATTTATGGAAAAATCATTCAAAATTAACACTAAAAAATAGAATTATGATATTTGATTTATTTACATGATGCATTAGATGATATACATGAATGGTAATATATTATTGCAAGGAGATGATTGCTATATTACAGATTTAGGATTATGTGGGCCAGTTGATGAAAAATCATCAAATAAAGTCTATGGAATTGTATCATATGTTGCATCCGAGCACTTGGAGGCAAAAAGAACATGATATCTATAGTGTTGGGATGTTGTTAATGTGGGAAATGTTTGCAGATCATCCACCATTTGATGATAGAGCTCATAATCATCATTTAATTTTTGATATATGTGAAGGTTTATGACCACCGATATTACCTGAAATGCCTGATTACTATGCACAAATGACGCAGACGTGGATCCATCAAAAAGACCAACTAGTAGAGAGCTGTTTGATTTTACTAAAAATAAAAGTTTGAGAAATAATAGTAATAGCAATAATAGATTATTTAAATTTTTTAAAATTAAAGAATATGAAATTGATTTTAATAATGATAGTAGCAGCAGCAGTAGTGGTAGTGACATATCATACAAGTAGAACCTTAGGTGATGAGATTGCTAAATCAAAAAGTTATACAAGTAATGACAGTTCATTAAATAGTCTTGATTTTAACTCTTTTCTCTAGAATGTCAACAAAGGTGAATAAAAATTTTCATTATTAATTAATTGGAAATAATTACTATCGATTATTAACAATTTTTTTTAATTAATTGATAAAAGAATTGATTTAAATTTATTCATTATAATTTTTTGTCTTTTTATTTTATCTTTATTTTAAATGGTGGTGATGTTGTTGCAAGGTATCATTTTGGTTAATGGTTGATTACAGCTTAACTTTTGAGCTACTCTTTTCAGTTAATTAATCGCAAGCGACTCACAATAATTCAGCACTAATTTACGAATTTACTTTGGTTCTCGATTATTGCCTCTTTCTTGCACCCAATCGAATCTGTAAGCAACACTTAATGGTGACAGATAACTGCTAATAAATAAATAAAGATGCCCTTTTACAATGGTCAAGAGCTTCTATAAAGTTCCTTTTATTCACTTGTAATCGATTTATTTCAGTTGTTTGCCCTTGGTTAAATAGCTTGCTTAAAGTTTACGATTATAGTAATATTACCGGTATTTCTACTATCAACGTTAGTCCTAATATTTGCTTACTAACACATTACTAATTGTTGTTGTTAACATTTATTAATTGTTGGGTATCACAATATTTATTTTGTATTTATTTACTTGTTACATTTCTCAAAATTAATAGTAATAATAGTAATAATAATTATATTTAAAAAATCGGTAGCAGTAATAAAGTGGTGTAAGTTTATGAGACGAAATCTTGTCATTATTCTCTCCCAGTGATTAAAAAAAAAAAAAAAAACTTTATGGGATCGGTTTATTTTTTTTACAAATGTGTAATTGTAAAACTCCTTGTTGTATAATAATAACGAGACGTTACTGTATTCCTAATTTGGAAATTTTGAAAATCATCTCAAGTTTTTTTAAATATTAAGTGCATTAATTACTAATTACGAATCCTTTGTAGTTGTAGTAATAGTTGAAATCGTGAAAGATGAAGCGTGAGATATGACAAAGAAAAGCAAGAAATTAATGGTAAATCAATCGGGAGAGATAAAAATTTAAAAATATCAATATTGATGAATGGTTTAAAGAAATCCAAAACCTAATTCCGTTCCCATTACTAATTTTATAATCTTTGTTTTATTCAAGATTAATATGTACATCAAAATAAATTATGGTTTTGTTAATAAATTACTTTAAAAAGCTTTCTTCTTTTCCTCATTTCAAAAAAAAAATTATATATTATTTTTTAAAATAAATTCAAAAATGTCGGATAATACATACAATAACAACAACACCACTGCTACTTCTAACATTAGAAGAAAGTGCAACAACACAAATAAAAAACAACAAAAATGTTTAACAAAGATTTGCAATCAATTGGAAAAAAAAATTTATAAAAGGAAGACACTTTTCCAAAATGAATTTTCTTCACCTCATCTTCAACATCATAATAATAATAATAATAATAATAAAAGTACTAGCATTGGCTCTAGTAACTTAATTAGTAATATATTAGAAGATAATAATAACAATAGTAACAGTAGTAGCAGTAGTAGCATCAGTAGCGATAATAATTCCAGCAATAATAATAATAAAAATAAAAATAAAAATAAAAAGAGGGTTTTAAAATTTTTGTTTTTCGCTAAAAATAAATTGAAATTTATCCCAAACATTGAAATAATTCCACCTTCACCTAAAAGTATAACAACACCAACTTGTAAAAAAGAAAAGGATTCTTTAAACGGATTATTTATTGAAAAGCAGGACTTTCAAAAATTCTTCTTCACTACGTCATTTTCATCATCACCTTCCACATCTTCTTCTACTAGTATTTCCACTTCCACTTCCACTTCTATAACAAACAAAAAAGAAGTGCAACAAGAACAAAAGCAAAAAGAAGAAGAAGAAGAAGAAGAAGAAAGCATTTACAATTACAATCATAATCACATTTGCAATTTTTATTACATTAAATCTTTAATTTGTCGTTTCTCCAATAAAAAAATGCCAACCACAATGAATAATTTCTTTCGTTCCTCCAAGTCTAACAAAAGATCCAGTACCAATACAAGTAGGAGTTCTAACAGTCAAGGGTCTGTTCCAAGGTAATTAATTGTCTATTATTTAATTAATTACATTTATTTTTTTTTTCAATAAAAAAATTAAAATTTTTTATAATTATGTTTCAGTTCATCGCCTCCACAACCAATCCCGATCAAATTAAATGTGGGCGGAAACTTGTATATAACAACACAACAAACTTTATGCATACATCCTTCGTATCTTTCCGAATTATTTTTCTTGTATCGTTCGCCTGAATCATTATCATCATCACCGCAACCAAAAAAACGCAGTAGTATCAATAAATTTTATAAAAGGTCTTCATCTTCATCGTCATCATCTTTGTCATCGTCAAGTTCACAGTTACTGTACCCATGGCCAGAAGAATTATTTATTGATCGTGATGGCACTCATTTCGATCATATTTTGAACTTTCTACGTACAGGAACATTACCAAAAATATCATTATCGATTTTACAGAAATTAGAATGCGAAGCGAAGTTCTACGGTATAAAACCATTGATCAATCTGGTTTCTCAACGTATACAAAATCATTTAAGTTTACCAAAATTCAAAGTTGTTCCGATTCAATCTCTTTCTCAAGAAAATAATAATATTCTTCGTCCGAATCCAAAAATTTCAATCTATAGCAGCAGCAATAACAGCATTAATAATAGTGATGTTAATTATGAAGGAAAAGGCGATGATGATGATGATGATATTTTTAATATGGTCAATGAAAATATTAATGAATTTGGATCAGGTGTCGGATCAAGATTATCGTCAAATCAATCATTCTACACTCATCACAATTTATCTTTATCTAATCCTTCATACGGCGAAGTTCCAATCATTTACAATCCAAAATTCAATGAATCTGATTTGTTACATCCATATTCATCAAAGAATATTTCAACACGATCGTTATACAGTAACAGCAGCAATAACAACAATGATAATAATAGAGAAAGTTGTGTCAAAACACCTCAATCAGAACCAAGTTATCATATTAATCAACAACAACAACATCAAAACCATCATCATCAGCAACTATATCATCAACAACAACCAGCGCAAATTTCTGAAGAGTTGATAGGTGACAAGGTGAATTCGACCGATTATGACATTATTAGCATAACATCTGTACCAATATTTTTCAAGAAATGTCCTGAAGGTCATGGTGAATTAAACAGGTTTTCCGATCCTTATTGCGATACAACTTGCACCGAGTCTCATGTACAATTATCAAAAGAGATGGCTACATATGTTGTGTTGAAGCGTAAAGATGATTGATTGATATTTGCACGCGTGGAAAGATAAAAGAAGGAAAAGCAAAAATAGAAAAGAGGAAAGAGAGAATAATTAATTCAAATATTTTCAAAACAAAACAAACTTTTAGAATCTTTTTTACATAAATTATATATACATTTACAAATATGAATAGAAATAGAAAAATAGAATAGAATTTATACAATATGATGGGGTCCAGGAAGAAACAAATTCCTGCATTTTATTTTTTTATTTTTATTTTATTGTATATAAATACATTCATACATTCATACATTCATTCATACACATTCATTCATTCATTCATACATACATTCACTCATTCATTCATTAATTCATTCATTAATTCATTCATTCACTCATTCATTCATTTGTAACCAACTTGTATTCATTCATTCATTATTTCAATTGTGCGGCTAAGGGTTTCTTTTATTTTAAGCATTAGAATAATTTTAATTATTGCTATTTTTTAACATAAGCTAACTATTTACTACTACTACTACTACTACTACTACTACTACTACTACTACTATTGTTATATGGGGCAGACTTTGGTGTGCCAAACGATTCAAAAGTCGTTGGGATTTGCGATGCTGTATCGTTATTTAAGTTTTTTTCAACATGCATTGTATTTTTCTAACACTATAGATCGTTTAAATTATGATGTTGATGCATCGTTTAAAATACGATTTTAAAAAATAAACAAAAAGAAAAAATTTTTTAATTAAATTAAATTATAAAACCACTTTAATGAGAGCAGACAGAGTCTTTATTATGCTGTACATGCAGCTCAAATTGTTTTTCTGATGTTAAAAGTCTAATTATGTCACCTGATCACTATTAAAAAACACATGTAACTTTTGTTGCAAAAGTGGCCTTTCACCATTCATTGGTGATATTTTTAATTGTGAAAATGCATTCAACTGGCTAGTACTAAAGTAATGGAACGCTTGTATGCCCAACGGTTGCATTTGCCTCCATTATTATTTGACAATTAGTAATGTGATTAACCATTTTATTTTCAAAAGTGAGAGAATACTAATACGCGAGACTCTTTTACTTTTTATGCTTTTTTTTTTGCAAAAATTGCTTATTGACTTGTCATTTTGAATGCAATCAATCATTTTGTTTAATCCATTTCATTACCTTCCCTTAATGAAATGCTTTCGATAGTAATATTCCAAATATTTGGGCCCAATATTTAATTATTCGCCATCAAGAAGAGCAATTAGACAACAATATGGTAATTTTAGGGACAGTATAGCAGTAGTCCAGGTGGATAGATGGATATCATGGACCAACCTATAGTAATAACAGATGATTAAGTCTTTTGTATTAATTTAAAGAATTTTATCTGCCAGAAACTTATTGATTGGCTTTTTAAAATTATTTTTGATTTTTTGGGAAGGCTTAAAACACCAAAACCATCTGCTAGTATTTTGCTAAATATTCACGGTTGAAACAGGCCTACAAATTATTAGACGTCGACTAAAATTTTTGGATCGGAAGTAACGGATAATAAAGAATTATCAACTTTCAAATCTTTTGAGTTCTCTCACATAAATAAATATTTTGAAATAAAATAAAATTTGCGTTAATAAATAAATAAAAGATTCATACATATCGAATTACCATTATTATAATTAAAAATTACCCTTGCCATCAATTTTTCCTTCTTTTATTATCCTTCTCCGGAGCTTCTTCAGCCTCGATCTTTAATATTTTTGCCTCAGCTAGTAAAAATTATAACTAATGGGAGGGAGGAGTTGATAGTAAAGTTGAAGAATTAACATTGTCAGAGTAGGCTTCCGATGTTTGAATAACTTGTGAATTTTATTGTTTAAATAGTCAGCGCTAAAATGACACAATTTTTTTTTCCTTCAGTATTCAAACTCGATATCAATTTAAGAATCTCGTCAATATTTTCAAATTTCCATGATTGCTTTTTCAAGTTTTGTAACTCTTCTATCACTATTAAAATAAAAGTTCTCTTCGACACTACCACTAAATTGACCTGCTGGATTTAAAATATCATTAGTGATCAATTATTAATTAGAAAAGGAAAGATCTTTAAAATTAACAATATTTTTTCAAACCTTCTTGTAAAAATCTTCACTAGTTCATTCATCATCACTTTCTCTCTTCCAAAATCTAAAACCTGTAAAGAAGCCAGAGATTTGGCTCGTGATAATGCAACATATGCCCGTCCTATTATATTTATTTACCAAAAAATTAAAAAATAAATAATTACAAATATAATCAAACAATATATACACGAGTGAACGAATGTGTATATGTATATATGCCTTTCTCGAAAAATCCGTCTAAATCCATTTTTACTCTCCCCAGAGCTTAATAATCCTAACTCTTGTGGATACTAATTGCCCAGGCAAGAATGAGTGGAACCTATTATTGAATTAGATATCAATAAAAAAAAAGTATATCTCACAACAACACATATACAAATATAAAAAGATCCATTTGGTTTCTACTTGCTGTTATAATTTTGCCTTCAGCCTCAATCGTCTCAAGTCGCCATTCGGTTAAGTCGACAGTCATTACTCTATTTTCCGTGAATTTAACAATTGATAAAATCACATCTTGCTGATCAAAATCTCACTGTTTCATCTTCGCCATTTAATAATCAATTTTATTGTCCATAGAATAATAACATCTTTACCCCATTAACCAAATTCATATTTGATATTTTAATAAGCATTACTTGTGCACACCACGTTTTAACTCCAATGTTTCAGGTGCCAACCAAATTTAGTAAGTGCATCCAATTGTCCACCGTTTCTGAACAAAAATAATATGGTTTATTTAAATGTTCAGATTTGTATTAGTAACATCACATTTTTGGAAAAATAAAAAAAAAATAAATGCCATATATGAATATACGAGCAGATGATGCAATTGTGAATATCGATTAACCTGCAATTCGGTAATAGTAACTCGAATTCCATCATTAGAAGATCGTCCGATCTTATCTCATACCAAAGAATTATATGTATAGAATTAGAATTAAAATTAGATCAATTTATCAAACAATAATAATAATGATTTATTTACCTGCCTGATAATTCTATTGTATGTTTAAAACATTGATTCCATGAATTTGATTCATAACACGATTTATCTTTACATACTGAAAAAAAATCACCAGCGGCTATTTATCTATATAATAAATAAATAATAAATATATATAAAGTATGTATATGAGAATTGAAAATTTATATGATCCTCAATATATGTTGTTTATTTATTTATTATACTTGCCAAAATTCCTCCGAATGGTCTATATAGCATTATTACGTGTATAGCACGAGCAATTTCTTCTAACTTATCAAATAGTTTGTCGTCAAGCATTGACACTATATTATAGATAAACAAGTAAAACGATTATTAATAATTATTATTACTTCCCACCAATCAAATAAATCACACTTTCATCAATGATTAACGCACGAGCAAGTTTTCATTGTATAATATTTGAATAATAACTTTTAACTTTTTTAATTAACTCGCTACTTTTACCAAATGAATGAATGGAAGGTTGTTCCATTAATGTTAACAGCCGCTACACCACTAATAACAGTTACGGATATCGCTCCAGCCAGTGTTAGAAAATGATCTATGGTCACTGGTCACCAAGTCATGTATGAAAGTCATGACCTACTATAACTAACCAATAAAAAACTGCAATGATCAAACATCAACAAAATTCAACAAAATAATAAATATAGATTTGAAAAAATTTCAATTTCAATTTTTTTTTTATTTCTGATTGGTCGATCAATCTTGGGAATATAATCATTTATTATTTGAAAAATTTAATTAATTCTTTCTTGTTGACTTTTCCCATTTGATTTTTTGGTATTTCTCCCGCGATTTTTAATAAGCTTGGTAATTTATAATTTGGTAATTTATTTTTACCAAATTCTCTTAATTCATCCAAATTCAAATTTTGTTTCTAAAAAAATTTAATTTTTAACATGACAAATAAAATATGTATAAAAAACATCTCTAAAAACATTTACTAAATGTGCACATTACGTACATTGTCTTTTAATGTCACTAAAGCACCAATTTTTTGTCCCCATTCTTCATCTTCTACTCCAACAATATAAACTTCTAAAATATTTGGATGTTCGGATAATTCTTTCTCAATTTCCAAAGCTGAAATTTTATATCCACCCGACTATTGATTAGACAAACAATTAATCAATTAATCAATAAATCAAATAATTGATTTATTGATTTGATAATATGCACGCACCTTTATTATATCAACACTCTTTCTACCAAGAATTTCGAAACCTTTAGTTGTTCTCATTGCAATATCTCCAGTTTTAAACCATCCATCAGATGTAAACTCCTTTCTGGTTGCTTCAGGTTTATTCCAATATCTTTTAAAAAAATTATTTATTAACAATAAAAATAAAAAAATTAATTAATAAATAAACAATTAAACTAAAAAAGAATTTATAAAAAATATTTTTTTGAAATTTAATTTACTCTTTGAAAACAGTTTCACCTTTAACTTGTAATTCTCCTGGTAAATTTAATTCGTTTGTAATATCTTTATTATCATCTGATACTAATCTTACATTTACTCCGGGTAAAGGTAATCCTACGCATCCCTAGATTTTATTTAATATATATATATATGTGTGTGTGTGTGTACATCCAAACTCATCTATAATCCTATATGTATATAATAATTTGCTTACTTTGTATCTTTTATTTGGATCGTATTCATGACTTAATGCCATACCAATTTCACTCATTCCATACCTTTCCAATAATATTTGACCTCCAGAAATTTCTTTCCATCTATTCCTGATTGAGATTGGTAATGATGATGATCCTGATACCATTAATCTAAATTGTGAACAAGATTTTGTTGCTTCAGGTTGCAGATTCTTTAGCATTTGCTTATCGAAATATTGAATCAATTTTGCTAAATAATTATAAATTGTGAATTCATAAATGTAATAATAGTAACGATCAATTGATTAACTTATTATTATTACAAATATATATATATATATACAATAGATTGTAGGAACAGCCATGAATAATGTTAAATCTCGCTTTGGATCCATCCATCTATTCCAGACAGTTTCCGCATCAAATTTTGGTAACATTTCTACCGTTGCTCCTACGTATAATTGGCACATTAATGCCTGACAAAAGAAATCATAAACTTTCAGTCGGTTGGTTGGTTCATTTGTTATCATAACTTTTTATTATTAAAAAACTTACATTCATGATTCCCTAAAAAAAAAAAAAAAAAAAATTCAAAATAATAAGTAATTTCATTAACAATACTTGTTATTCCACTTTACAATATAAAGTTCTTACATGTAAATGATGTAATGGTAAAACATGTAGTATTTTGTCATTACGACTTAGTCTCCATGCTTCAACAAGTGATTCTACCTGAGCTTTAATGTTTAAATGAGTTGACACAACACCTTTAGGTTTCCCTAATGATAGCAATTACAGGAAAATGTTAAAATATCCATTTTATATTTTTTGTAAAAGATTTTAAATTGCAAAAATTGATAAATCACCAGTTGTGCCACTTGTATAAATGATTAAGGCACGACGTGATTCATCCATTTGAGTTAGCTTTAGATTCTATTAGGACATGAGTTAAAAATGTAAATGTAAAGAGGTATTTATTTATTTATTTATTTTTGATTTTTTTTTGATTCTACCTTGAAATCATCATCTTTACCGTATCTGTTATCATTATAGCCAATAGTTTTATGATCTACAATCATGATATTTTGAATGTTAGCATTTTTTGCAATTGGTCTAATCCTATCTTCGAATTCAGGATGTGTTAGAACAATGGAGGAGTGTGAATCTTTCAACACATATGACAATTCTGATGATGGATGAGTTGTACCTTTTATTTAATGTGGAACATGGAATTTTTAATTTTATTGTGAAGATCATCCAATCAAATCACACAATGCAAATACATACACAATGGGACAGCTATTCCGCCTGCTGCCCAAATAGACCAAAGAGATATTACATAATCGTAGCCATTGGGACACAAGAATGCCACTCTTTCTTCATTCAAATCATTCTTCAAGTTGTCTTTATCATGAAAATTCTTTGATAGTGGTAACAGTTTAGTTTTCAGCCCAATAACATCAAGCAACAATTCATTGTATGAATATTGAATATCTGCTTTAACATCGATTATTGCAGGATTCTGTTTGATTGATTTATTATTATTATTTAATGTTGTTGTTGTTGTTGTTGTTGTTGTTATTGTTGACAATGAATGTTTAATGGCTTGTTTGAATATTGACAATGAAGGCAAGTCATCTAAAATTGAGTTCCCAAGAAATTAATTAATAAATTTTTAAAGAATAATGGAAATAAAAACAATTCTAATTTAGGTTAATTGATTACAATTATTGTTTTCATTGTTGTAATTATTATCTTTGGTTGTTAAGTTGTGTAAATGTTTTCGTAAATAAAAATTTAATTGATTTAATGAATTGATTGGCTTTAATGACAATGATTTATAATTATTCCAGCGATGATGATAAATCCTAGTAAGCATTTTATTTTTAGAAAAAAATTATCAAAGAAATTATTCTGAACACTGGACTTATACATCGGGAATATATTTGTGTAAAATTAGTATTAGGTTCATCGATGTCGATATTGGATATAATATTAATATCGGGTATTTCGGAAATGGTAAAATAGTAAGTAATAGATATATATGCGTGCTACGACAGCTTTGCTACCGATCTTCTAAAAATAAATTCCTAAATCCAAATTTGGTAAAGTTTCTCAATCTTAAACTCAAAAAGTATTTAACATTAATATTAGTATAGCGTGGGTAATACCAATACAGTGTGGAGTCTTTAATTAGTAATTTCTTATAACTTCAAAAAAACAAAGAGCTTTTTTTTTTAAGTTACAGATCGTTCATACATTATTGAAATTAAAAAAACATCAAGTAGGTTTTTTAAGGGAAAAACTTTAAACAGCATATCGAATCAAAATGAATGTTGTTGATCATTTCTTATTACATGAAGGAATCTAATATTTTTTAAACAATGAAAATTAACGGTGGACACATTCATCATAAATTAGTCAGCTTATCTAATATTTGATGAATGAGAAGAATTTGTCGATCGTATTTAGAAAGAATGCAAGTGCTCGCGTTTTTTCTCTCTATAGTGAAGTTTCTGTCGCATGCGAGGTTTAGTGCTTTTGATTTTTTTGGACGGATCATAAAATGACAGCTAGATCAATTACATAATAACAATAGTTAAACAGCAAAATTTTCCCAAAAATGAGCCTTGCCACCAATTAATCAATCAAGTAACGAGATAAAGACGAGGAAGGGAACGGTTTGGTTAGCTTCTTGGCCAATCATTATTATTTGTGACAACGATCGACTTACGTAACAGGTTAAAGATCCAGCCAGATCAGGGATTATTTATCTTCCCAGTTTAAAAATTGAGGTTTATCAATGCTCACATGTTTATGGGATCAGGGATAACTTATTTCGGAGATATGTTGGAGCATTATGCCATTTTGTTTTATTCATTTATATAAATTTATATAAACCTTGCTGATTGATAATCTGGGGAAAGCAACAGTTTGTGTATGGAAGAAACAAGTTTCTCGGAGCTTCCAATTCAGACTAACGGGGTTCAAATCTGGAGAAATAAAATTGAGAGAGTGTGTGTATGAAATGATTTTCATAATATGTTTATTGAAAAAATAAAGGAATTCATTATTATTATGATAAACTGGTTTCGGGCAATTTCACTACCCCGAACCTGACTCAATGATAGTTATAATATTTAATATCTTATGACCAATCAGCAGTCATAACTTGACATAGATAGATACTCTCTAGGGAATATAAAAATTGGCATTTCAATTATCACAAGAAATGAATAAATTTTGCACAACAAAATGTGCAGGGTAAAAGTGTGCACGAAAATATATATAAAGTTAAAGGAGAATTTTCATTGGTGGGAGAGATTGAGAAGGCAAGTTACAGTTTTATTTTTTCAGAAGTTGAGTAAAGCATAATAAATTTTTAGTTTTACTTGTTTTGTTGGTTACTAGAAATTTAAGGTTTAAAAGTTCCACCAAATAATTTATACTTAAATGGTTAACTAATCAAATTTTCAATCTTTTCGAATTTCTTGCTTTTTCTTTATTAAAGAATTCATCAATGTATATTTCTCTGTTTATTGTTATTACATCTGAGAATTTTAATTTATTTATTGTTTGGAATAATAAAAAAAGTAAACAGTAGATAATATGTCTAGTATTTGTTTATTATAATATTTGTATAATGTTTTGTTACGAGTCTGTTGATTTTAATTTTTTTTTTTTTATATTAATGTAATAAATTAAATCACGGAAAAAAATGATTTTTTATATACATTAAATTGTTAACAATCTCCTCTGATCATGTATAATTTTTACTATAATATATATATGTATATATTTTCTTTATAAATTTATATGCATTTGTATTAGTAAGATTTTCAATTTAATTATAATACATTATTAATAATATATAAAAAATTTCGCAATTAAATAATTAATTAATTAGTTGGTTGGATTCTTTTATATAAATTGGCCAAGATTTTTTTATTTTGAACAATTTTAAAAAAAATTCAACTTTTTTAAACAAAAAATAAATAATAAATTATATATATAAAGACATTATATACGATTTTTATTTTATAATTTGTAAATATACATACACATACACACGAAAAAGAGATTTTATCTTGGAGATTTAAACCTTTTACATTCTTTCTTTTGAATTAAAAATTAATAACAATTACATTCTTTTCTTCTTAAATACGCCGTTTTAACTATTTTTATCATTAAAATATGGGGAATTGTCTTTCTGATTCCGCTTTATTCGTAGACGATGAAAAAAATTCAACAATTTCGACAAAATCTTCATTTTTTTTCAGAAATAATAGCCTTAGCGGTAGCAGTAAAAGTAATAGCGATAATGGTAACAGGAATAATAAGAATGGATTTTTCAGGAAGAATAGCAACAGCAATTTATCAAACTTACGTAAATGCACAAGGATATCTTTAGATAGCGAAAACTTAGAGGCCCAAAGGGTAAAACCATTGTCATCGCTTATTAATTTATTATGGGGAAATGATTTTTCGTCTCCTGTTGAATACAAATTAAAATCCGGAAATTTTAAAGTGCTTGATGTTGGATGTGGAACTGGCGATTGGATAATGGAATTGGCTAGGAAATATCCAAAATCAAAATTTATAGGAGTCGACAAAAAGCCTTATTTTCCCTCAACAGATTTGCCTGAAAATGTGGAATTTTACGTTGTCGACATATTGGAAGGTTTGCCATTTGCGAACAATACCTTCGATTTTGTGCATCAAAGATTCCTATGCAGCTATTTGTCAACCAAACAATGGGAAGAAATTGTTATAAATGAATTGTTGAGAGTGACAAAGCCTTTAGGTTACCTAGAATTAATGGAAACCGATTTAACCTCTTACAGCCAAGGACCAATAACAAAAAAATTATGCGATGCATGTAAGTTCCTATTTATTATTTATTTATTTATTTATTATTATTATTACCTATAATTTGTCTTTTTAAATATTTATTTGTTAAATGATTCCTCCCTTCTCCTCCTCCTCTCATATATAGTTGTCGCATCGATGCACGCAAAAGGCTTTAGTCCAATGATTGAATCAACACTCACAAGAATACTTTCTTCAGATCCAAATGTCATAAATTTACAAATTAATTCCAAAAAAATTCCATTGGGTTATTGGAGTGAAATAAAGGTGATTATTTTATTTATATATATATGTGTGTGTGTGTGTGAATTCATTCATTCACACCATTTTACAATAATACTAACATTTTTTCTATAAATTATTTTATTACTAGAATTACGATAATTGTTTGGAATTGTTTAAACTTTACAAGAAATGTAGTTTGGAATATACGAGTGCCACATCTGAAGATTTCGATAAAATGATCGAGATTTATCTAGAAGAAATAGAAGATTACAAAACTTATTCAAAAACGCATCGTTTCTTTGGTCAGAAGATCGCCTCAAGAAAATCAAATGCCTCTTTCACAAAATCTAGAAGGTCTGATTATATATAATAGCAATCATCATATTATCATTGTCATTATAATTATCATTATTATTATCATTACCACCATCATTATCATCATTAAGATTTATTTTTATTTTCTTAATCGTTATCATCATCATTATTATCACACATAAATTTTTATTATTATTTTCCCATCAAAATCACAAAAAAAAAAAAAACTTGTAAAAATTTTAAATAAAATATAATTAATTTTTGAATTTTGTTTTTTTAATTGGTTTGTTTGTTCCCCTTTGAAAAAATAATGAAAACTTTATTGTTTGGTAATCAATCAATCGGGTCTTAATATTATATGTGTATAAACCAATTGAAATTTCTCTCCTCATTAAATGATAACTAAATTAGTCGAAAAAAACAAATTTCATACGGCTTGTGATTGGTTCGAGCAATAATGGAAATGTTTATTGCAAGTCAAAAACTATGAAAATTTGCCATTGGATTGTTTTTCCCAAACTAAAAACCAAAAAATTTGTTTATTTTTAATATTAAATGTTTTTTTTTTCATTAAAAAAAAAAATACAAAATTTAATTAACGTAATAAAACGAGTAATTTTAGTTTTTTCCTTGATTGTACGAAAATTATAAAATTTTATTTATTCTTATGCAAACATATAAAAGAAGTCTCTGAGATTCTATGGCATCCTAGGATTTGATTTTTTGTTTGTTTGTTTGTTTGTTTTGTTTGTTTGCTTATTTATATTTGTCAATACTTTTAAATGTCTTACCTAATGAATATTATGCTTACTATTCCCATCCATTTTCGTGGAACAACAGCTTATAGTAATAGTAATAGCGTTAGGTGTAACATGTATGCACTATTGGACCGAGCGAGTTTCATATAGTAATAGAGGTTTACTATTTAATCATCATATGCATTCTACTCAAAAACTACAATTAACGCCAAGGCATCTCCCACTCAATCAATCCTCGAGTAGAATCAATCAATATATTTTTTTTTACATTTAGAAAATTTTCAATTTTTAAAAATTAAAAAATTCCTTTTTTTTCGAAAAAAAAAAAAAATTTTGTCTTAAAAAATGTTATTGTTGATTTGTGTGGAATGCACATGTGAAACGACTTTAGTCGTTGACCGCTGTTGTTTTTGACATATGAGTAAAGAAATGCTCCTTGCTGTGTTGATATCTTGTTATCTCTATCAGACAATTACTTGCATAAATGGATGCATCGTGGTTTTCCCAAAGACGCATTCGCATAACAGAATACGATCAGTGCTACCACCAAACCAAGTAAATAAATAAAGCATACTAAACTTCATTAATCAAAATTTTTGATATAGCGCTTTTTAAGATCCTGCACTATGATTATTGGATGATGAAAAACCACCATTACATATTAATATCTATCCACTAATGCTAATATTAATATTGGTGTGTGTGAGTGATCAATTATTTATGTTTATCACATCCATTTAGAAAAAAAGTCTTTATAAATTATTAAACCATTTTCTTCAAAAAGATCAAACTTTGTTATTATTGCCTTCTTAACTGATTTTGGAATACAGTCAAAGTCTGTGCGATGATCTTCGCGGAAAAATAGTAATAATGTTCGACAATCCTTTATTATTCTTGTAAACAATGATTGGTAAAAACGAATTGTTGAAATAAAAATTTTCGCGAGCCACATGATAATGTTTTTATATGATTCGGAAATTTGGAAAATAGGAACCCATGATCTTGGTGGAGACACTTTGGTCGGTTATTGGAAGGAGTTTCCTTTTGAACCCGATCCTCTTGAACCACAGAATTTCCGAATTTGTATATCTGAACTTAATATAGACACTAGCACACACCAAGGAAATTGAATCTTTAAAGAAAGGAAATTTTAAGGAGAATAAAAAAAGATATCAACTTTATTAAATTACTCCACTAAGAAGGTTTCGCGCCTAGCCATAAATGACTTGAATAATAAACACAAGAGTAATTATTGAGAAACTTCTTTGAAATGAAGCCGAGCAAAATTACCATAATTTGCAAATACAATTTACATCAGAGTAAAACGCGAGGAGAGAAATAAAGAAGTCTCCATGATTTACAAACAGAAAATCAAGATCCTTTTTTCTCTTTAAAGAGCAAAATCAACAACAATTGATTGCCGAAAGAGATTTCCGTCCTATATTACCTACTCAAACCGAGCATGATGATAGTGATAGTCCGTACCTCTCAACTCTCAAATTAATTTATATTTACACAAAATCAAAATCCGAATGTAGAAAATATACTACTACTACAACTTCACAAATTAATTACTGGGCCACACATATTATAAAAAGTTCTCACAAAACTTCATACTTTTCTTTGAGTCTTTGAAAAGTAGCAATAAATAATTCAAAATCATATTTAATTAAAATTAAAATTAACATTATTAAAATTAAAATTATTAAAATTATTAAAATTAAAATTATTAAAATTAAAATTAAAATTAAAGTTAATGAATTAATTAGCTAAATTAAGTTATATATCTTTACGGAGGTTTTTAATGAAATGTTTCTTGTACCAATTAAGTTTATTTTTATTTTTAATTTGTGCTAAGCGGATATTAAAGTCCTTCCAGCTAAACTATAAACAATCGGTCCCATCTCTTAGTATTTTTATAGAAAGGTCTTTGAAACATATATTAAATCTGATATTGTTGACATTGTCTTAGCGGCGGTTTCATGAGAAATCAAATAGTTTTGATTGATTTGACTAATTTTTTATTGTTATTGCATAAACCCGCATATTGTTTCAACTCAATGAAAATGGTTTTAATAAACACCTTTACCGGATTATTTATGATTATTTTAATCGGTATATTGATGGTGTCTCCCAAGGCGCATCCAAAACATTGTGTTGGGTCGTATCTTAATGTTGGTTTATGATAGTTTGTTATTGGAATGAAAAATTTTGACGTCTTTTGCTTTTTTTGAATTTTAAGAAATTCGGTTTACGATGAATTGTTGCTTTCAACCTATAATATATTTTGCTTGATGCGTCATCGTAATTTATAATATTGGGCTCAATTGAAAATGGTAATTCCATTCCATATATTTTCTCATACAAATCATCTCGCTTATTATTGTTATTATTATCATTATTGTTATCATTATTATGATGTTTCCATAAACACATCATCTAAAAAATTCTTTTTCTGATGTGAAATTTATTAATGGCGGTTAATTATTATTAACTACTCTGCTTCCACCATTACAAAGATTTTTACTATCGTCTTTATGATAATTATAATTACTATATAACACGATTAGACTTGAATATATTATTAATATACCACTATTTCTACTACAGTAACTATTACTGTTAAACAATGTTGATCGTTGTTTCATCCAAAATATTTCTTTCGGCCGATCAATGTTAATTCTATTTTTTTCGCTTGCATTTGGATATTCCAATCTAAGCGCTCCTGATATTTTAGATGGTTCTATACCTAAAAAACCTTTCTGATACGTCTCACATCCTGGTAAGTGAATCAACGTTATTCGCCCCGAATACTTTACCGTGTCCATACTTTAGTTTTTCAAAAAAAAAATTATAATTTTTTTTACGACGGAAAAAATAGTTTAAAAAACTCTTTACTATTACATGATTTTATATGAAACATCCCATTCATATGATTTTATTGAAATTAACGCGTGACCTACAATTCCCCTTCTCGTTATATTTTCAATGAAAATAATACTCAAAACCCAATGACCACTATATCGGGCAGCATTAAATAAACTACCTCATAAAAAACATTCAATATGAATTCGTGGATAAACAAAAAAAGCCGTCGTAAAATATTATGATTCAATTTTTTGTGAGATACCATTTTATTTTTATTAACAAATTTACATATTGAATTTTATTATCTAAATTAATAAATTATTCAGGAAATAATACATTAATAATATGGTACATTGGTTCTTTAGACGGAATGTCTTGGAATAACCTTTTTCCCTCCAATTAATTTACTAATATTATCTTTAATTTTATTATCTTCATCATCAACAATACTTATTACTGTTGATTTTTCTTGCATTGGTGATGATGATGATACTTTATTATCTTTAACGTTTATGATTATATTGTATAATCTGGTAATAATATTATTGGCAATGATAACTGAACTAGTTATCAAAGTTAAAAATGGGATAAGGTCATATGATATTATCAAGTTTTTATAGATGACCTTAATAAAAAGATAATAAAAATAATATGTTAATACTCATTCATACATGGTTAAGTGATTCAAAGAGTTAATTAATTACATCTTCAATTACCAACCTGAATAATGAATTGTGGTATATCTTCAATTAAAAAACTTGCTAAATTACACCAAAATATTAATGATAAAGAATTGGATGAAAATGG